GCAAGTATCGGAGCGGATCTCCGGGCGGAAGCAAAGACTTCCGCTCCCTCGGGACTTACCGTCACGCCTCGACTGTGGCCGCCACTTTCACAGTTTTGTACACCAGTTGAACTCAGCATGCGTTGCAATGCCAAGTAAACTTAAAGATCAAACATATGAATTTCAAAGCAATTTTTAAATTTATACGGACATAACCCCTCTTCGACATACTTTACCAATGTTTCACAAGCTGCATCAATAGTGTAAGAAAAATATCACAGAAGCGAGAGAGAATAATACTGATGGAGAATTGGAAATTAAATGTAATGGATTTTTCCTTATTATTACGTAATAAAATAGTTGATGATATTATTATCATAATATTCATACTTATAAATTATCTGTTGCTAATCAAAATTAATATCTGTGGTAGTTACTTATTATTTTGGTGTATAACATCTGGTAACATTAGGCAATGTCTGACGTGTTAATGACAATAATCATGAGATAAACATCATCAATAATTAAATTGTAATGATAGTAAAGCGGATTTGAAACAATGATATTTCCCGTGTCATGTGACAAAAATTATGATAGCGTTATCACAAGTTATTGAGGACGATAAAGAAAATTACCTTCCACCTGTTATATCGAACAATCCACATGAGAAAGTCGGGCCAGAAAATGTATGTGTTTTTCGGAATTTCCAAATAATTGTTAGTGTGACGAAATTTGGATATCAAAGCAAAATGTACGATTCCGTTGGCCTGGAACTGTTTTTCAAGTGTCACAAATACCTTCACGAATTCACTAAACGAATCACGAAATACATACTTTTTTAATTCCTCTAGAAGTAACTTAAAGGCGACGGCTAATAATATTCTGCACTGACCGCAGGTTCACATCAACTTTGACGAGTTACACTTACTATCAGAAAAGCGTCGTAAGCCCGATAAGAGTCATGTGTCAAATAAAGAGACCACCCTACCCGTACCAAAGTATCCTATAGCATTAATATGGTTTCCTGATACACTGACTATTGCAATTGATAAATCTCCAGTCGATGAGAAATTAACGTAAGTTCGTTAAAAAGACGTTAAAAACATCAAATATAGTCGTTGAAGTTTCAACAAAACGAATGACAAAATTGTAACTTTTTAAAAAATTGCACGATTTTGTAAAGATACTATACTAATACACTGTTTGTGTATACTTAATTACAGTTGTATTTAATGTAGAATACGTGTTTCTGATAGACTGAAACGAAACGTCTTCCGATTCTCTAGCGAATGGCATCAAAATAGGCAAAAAGTAACTTACGTGGTGTTAGAACTTCAACGTCGATATGTAACGTTATCTATTTATTTCAGTCTCATAAACGTTTGCGATAGATTGATATACATCCATTGCTGTGGCATTTGGAATGATGAGATAAGGCTCGGCGCATATTGGAGTTGTTACCCTAAGACAAGGTTCCTCATAGCTCCAGGGTTAAGACGAGAGTTGCACGTGAGTGCAGAGCCTAAGGATTCGTCTCCCGTATCGGAGGCGCGCGTTGCTCTACAACTAGCCGCGGCGTACAAGCGGGATCACGTCATCGCCTACTTTATGGTCCCTATGCAAGTCCAATTTAAGAATTACGTCAACCCACTATCCGAAGAGCATTCGACTGAGAAACTTTCGCATTGTAGCTAAAGAAAGATTTATTTATTCCGTTAATTTTATTATTTTATGTTTGATAAGTATATTTTGGTGTAATTGACGTCAGTAATATTTTCACCATAGACAAAATGATATAAAATTAAATGAGTTATGTGATGCATTATGACTTTTTATGACTTATTGATTTAATTAGTGGTTACATTTATATTATATTCGTTAAGTGATTGAGGTAGAGTAGAGCCGATGCAATCGTTATCTCACCTTGACATTGTATGTTGACATCACTCGATCGTTTCGGTCACTCAGATTCGGCAAAGGAATGTTTCGCCTACTCTTTATTTTTATTATGCCTAATGATAATGGAGGACGTTTGAGGTCAATATGATATTTTATGTAGCAACTTTTGAAGACATGCAGTCTGATTTTATCTTATATATTTTTCTTAATAATTGTCTATTAACATTTTTGTATTATACATGTATTTTACTTTTTTTTTATAATTTCTTGTATAAATTTCTCCTCCTTTGAACATAACCACCACCACATAGTAACTAAAACAGTATAGTATTATCGCCTACTTCTTGAAATCAATTCTAGAATATCGATATTATTTTTGTTTTAATCGATGTAGGTATTCGCGGCAAAACTCGTAGTACATTGGGCAGGAGGCCCGGCGCTAGGAATAGCGAACAAGACGAATTGTTTTTGTACGGCAATAATTAGGGTTTCCAAAAATATCGAGAAATTCATTAGTATAATTTTGGTTATCAAGGCAAAGTATTGACATCTTTATTACATTTTAATGGCATATTGCCGTTTGCTGCAAGAAGCATAAACATTTGAATTTCTAAAGTAATTTTTTTGTGGATTTCATTAATTCTCGTAACCTATAGAAAAAAAGCACCACCACCATATTACAGTTGTAAAATGATCTTTAAATTTATTGGAATTTTTACAACTTGTTTTGCCAACCCTATTATTGATGTAAATGGCTAGCACATGTGGAATATTAGGCCTAATAATCTCGGCGGTGAGTCATTGCCGTCTTTGTCTTCAAATCGCTGGAAAGTTGCGGTAACGGATGACAAAGAGCGGAATTCCAGTTTAATTTGTAAAGTTCTTTTGTATTTATAGCCAATGATGTCAACATTTTAGCTGGCGTCTTAACTAGTTTGAAATTTAAATCGATTGCCGTCGGATAGATTAGATCTGTTTATTCGCTGTAAACACTCTTCAATCAAGGCCTATCTTGACGAGGTTTTTATTATATAGCCGTGAAGAAGTATACCGCAAGCTGCGTAGGAAAGTAACGCTGCAAAAGTAGTATATTAGAAGATGTATTAATTACTAGCTGTTCCCGTGCGACTTCATCCGCATAAAGTTATGAAAATTTTATTTTGTTATGACAATACATGACATGACGGCAAACCATTACTTCCTTGATGTTGGCAGTTTGTAGCTTATGGTCCCTTTCCCACATTAGGGTTTTTATCCAATTTATCTACCCCTAAGTTTAACAGCGTAAAAATATAAAGCCTAAAGTGTGACGTAAGTGTTAGTGATTTTAATGAAGAAAGAATTATTCAAAAATATGCTACGATTGCTGACATCTTACGCCATAAAGTAGTGCGTGTTTACACTTTATTATATCAGTATAGATAAGTATAAGTATAGATAACAAAAAAATATTATAATGACATACTTTAACTCGGGACCAATAATCTTCTGTTATACCCACACATACAGCAATAAAGTAGGGTTGTTGCTACTGATTTTTTGCGGTAGGGTTCACTTAACATCTCATAAAATTCTCAGTCGTTTACTTCCTTGTTACACAGTAAAGCGGTTGTGCAAGTCGGGTGTTAAAAGTGTCCCTTGGTGTACTGGTAGTCGGCCAGTGACGGTGTCGTTGCGCCTATAAAATCCTCCGAAGTGTAAACATGCGTAAATATCGCGCCACACGCACTCGTAAAATCTATTTCTCGCGCGGTAGCAGCCCTGCCGGGTACTATTTACATTTTTTTTTAAAAGGACCATCAAAGTTTCGTAATTAATTTGATGACTAATTAAATCGTTAATTTTATTAGATGTACAGATTTTAATATGATTTATTCATGAACTGATTTACCTATATTGAAAGTTTAAAAATGTAGATGTCAAGGTAATGAAATGTTACTTGTACCTGTTGCATTAATTTTCCTTTAAAATTGATTTCTGGAAGTTTCACATTGAAATTTCTCATTCTAACTACCGCATGAGTGATTCGTAAATGGTATTTCCCGTGATACGACGCTAGGACGATCCAGTCTGCAGTTAATACCAACGCAGAAATGCATATGCATCAATATTACCACAATGTTAGTATTCCACAAGTGGTCTTTTCTCGGTATTTCCTATTTCCAACAAGTATTTTGTGATATCAAATAAACGTAATGGTATTTCCGAAGCAATGCAACATCGGGACTTTACTCATAAAGCCACAAATTTCACCTTTTCAAAGATAAACAATTTCACCATAACCGTTTTCTCATTCCCGCATTTGTTATTTTGTAACTAGAGAACTGAAATAGATGTAATTAAGGTTTGACGCACGTAATAAGTACAACAAGTGTTACATAACTTTGCATAAAGAAATAACCCTAGAAACCATTCCAATGCTTAAATACGTTAATAGAAATCCCCATTACGTGATTTTTAAGCACGCCATGGCTTAGCGATCATATCGTTAAAAGTTTGAATAATTACGCTCCACGTAATTTGTAAAAATTGGCAAATTTTACAAAGAAAAAAAATTACGTGTTATCTTTTAAACTTATTTGTATACTGCAACACTGACATATTAAATGGACATGTTACAAGGCGTGGTATTTTGTGCGTATTTGATGTTCGCCATTTTGGCGCTGGTTGTTATTGGTGGCATAGATTAGAACTAAGATAGATTAAGCTGCTTGTGGTAAAATCAACAGACGCGTTTAAGTCGGGTTAAGTAAAAGCTGTCATTTCCAAGCAACTATCTATCTATCTAACCATCTATCCGTGATGCAAAACATTTGGCTTTTGTATATTGATTTTTTAAATATGTAAATCTTCGTCTCTTCTATACTGTATTTCCGTTAATGATTCCAGCCGTTAAGTACTGAGAAGGATATTAAAAAGAAATTCGATCTGAAACTTGTAATTATTCCAACTATTTATTGCCAATAATTTAAACTGTTACTCGGAACAACTGCAAATCTTAAAGATGGAATTTACTTTTTTTTCTGAGACTTTATAAAATCCAATTAAGGTTATTATAAAACACATCGTCAAATTATTGATGGAACGAGTTTATTGATCCTCGATTGGTGGACATGGAACCGGTTTTCTCATATAATTATTTTTAAAATGATTAAATATAGGTTAATTAAATTTACACTTTCCAGTTTGCATCGGAAATAAATATAATTTTTAACTTCGATATTACTATTTTAAGATTTTTATTTTAAAGACAAAATAATATAATTATGATCGATTTTATTGAAACTTGAGAAAAAGAAGAATGAAACTAACTTAATTACTTATTAATTAAGGCTTGTCTCTTAGAATTTTACAACTATAATTCCAAAGTTCACTTACAAAATGATGAGTCGACCACACACAAAACGAATTGTGTGGTCATGACACTTCCCCGAATAACATATCACATTCATTCGTACAGATAAGCCTCCACTGCTATTAAATTCAGCTTTTTTAGCACTTTCATTATGATACCTTCAAGGAGATAAGTTTCTAATAATTTATAGACGAATATCGCACTACATGCATGATAACATTATGTAAGTCAAAATACGGTTCCATGATAAAGTATATTAGAATTTATTTTTTACCATGAAAAAAAATTAACTCGAATTTTTTATCGTAAAGAGTTACCGTAACTCACATGTTTAAAAAGGAAATCGCAAATATAATATTACAGCAGTATGAATATTTTGTACGTTACTCACATTTTTAATCCGTCGCATTGGACTATCTTTATGAAAATCGATTGATAAATGTAAAGACTGATTAGTTAACGACGCGAGACTTGAGTGGTTCAAAATAAATATCGGGCGAAGCCAAGCGACGCGACGAGTTAAATAATGAAACAGTGCTTGGCTACTTTTGTTCCGCTGGGGCACGCTGGGGTACAATGGGCCCTGTAGCAAGCCAGACAATCACTCAGCCAGCGATAAGGTTTCCTGAACTAGATTGACGCTGATTGCTATTACTTATTATTACTTCCCCTGCCGAGTTCAATCGACACGGGTACAGATACAGCAAATAGAAATAAAATTAATAAGAAAAACTTGTTTAAAAATGTTTCTTAATCTGTCTTATTCGTTCCTTATAACAGTAAGACTGTTGCTAAGCCGTGAATCTTTAGTTGAAGCTGTTGACAAATGTTAAAGCAGTTTTAAAACTGTATTTGATTTAAAATATGTGAAAACCGCTAAACATAAATTAGACTTAGTTGATAAGTTCCGAATTCGTACACCCTACAAACGTACAACTTTTGATCCATGACTCAAGTTACACTACGTGTATGTATATAGAATTACGGCACACTAAATTAGTTATTCTTTCATGTTTCAGTTTGAAAAAGGAGGAAATCCAATTAATTTCCCGCCAAAAAAGATATTAACGGATATAAAGCGCATCAGTATATTAAGTCTATGCGCTTGAGCTTTGTCGTGTAAACATAACAATAAAAGTCCAAATATTCGAAAATAACACTCAGTTTTATTTTATTTATATGTCCTCTAATTATGTTTAATATATTCTCATTAGTATTCTTTATATCCGTTATCCTTTGAGAGGCGGGGCGTTAATTTCGCTTTGTAAAATTATGAAGCGCCCTTTTTCCAGTCTATTAATACCTGAAAAACGTCTCGAACAATTTAAATTCACCGTCGCTTCTGATGTTCAGTTCGAGACACAAATTATCGGTCGGGTTTGATCCCACGGCCAAAATAAAATATCATGTTTCCTGTCAAGCGCTCGAGCTTCAGCGCTTGAGTGTCTTTTTTCAACATTTTTTCAGGACTACGGTTTTTTAAAAGAGCTGCGACGCACATGTCTAACGAACATACGTCGAGACGCCGAGTTATATATTTTTTTATCGTCTGTCTGTTAGACGAATTAACGTAGATGTGCTAGTTATTTTAATGGTAGGAGGAAGGCGGTTCCTTTTTCCATAAAAGCAAATGATTCACTTGATTTTCAGTTCCCGTTGATAACAAATATTTCAACAACTATTTATCTACATTTAATAAATTTTAATCGGTATTGGAATTACAAAAATGATTACACGAATTTGAAATATCATCATGTAAGACATAACCACAGATTAAAAATAAGTGCAGGTGATACGGTTTTAAATGGATATCACTTTCAAGAGCACTTTTTCCCCCAGAGTTAATACGCCTTTATTATTAGGCAGGTGAACTGAATTACATATTAAATATCGAATAAATTAAACTACGATAATCTCGATGTTTTATTAGACTTTATGTTTTACGTATAATTTGCTAAAGCAAACTTTAAGTAAACTTTAAGCCGAATTGTATAAAAATGGTTAATTTAAATTCCACTGATGAACGATTTCGGCTGTAAATCTTTATATGTTGATAATTTTATTATTGATATTGCAATATTGGGTGTAGTAGAGGCCTTAGAAGTATTACAGGTGCCTTCTGACGGCGGTAGTTCCTCGCTCGCTTGCATAACGGCCTGTGTCGGCGCACGTAATACGCCGTAACGACATTATGCATGTAGGCCGCGTACGAACCAACTAACTTACCTATATATGTGTATTGCACCGACTGCACAGTTCATACAGTGCTTTATCTCTTTAAATTGACAGATTTCCTTTTTGAATCAATATAAGACGTTTACAATTCCAACATGTTTCATCAACAAAGTAGGATTGGATGACATTTGTATTTTATTATGTTGGGTTTGCAGGAAGAGAATATCTAGTTCAGTACTTGCAACAGACTATGCTTATTTTTGTTCTTGTAAATCGCGAAAGATTGTAATGATATATGATTATAAAACTTAATTAATCTTAAATACTTTAAATATATGCTTTTTATATAATCGTGCCCATCTAAGATCGATATTATGCGAATTAAATAAAAAAATAGTCAAAGCGGAGCTAACAATAAACATTAATGGAGTGTGCACAATTGACAGCGATGTGAAATTTAAAGCGCATCTTATCTTAAAATGTTGACAGTGGGCACATGCTTGTTCATTGTTGTGCTACCACAAAGGCTCGCCCTGTCTACAGTTACAGAAGATGACGCGGGCACGAGGCGCGCCGATCGCCGCTCAGATAAACCCCTGGATCTCGCCTTCGACAACAAAAGATCAGGTTCCATGTCTGTCGACGAATGCAGACTGAAAAGGAATGTTGCCAGCAACTAATTTACGATTAACCTAAAGAAAAATCAAAATCATATTTGTTTTCTACAGTTTTATATTATTGATGAAATGTTACGCGCAAATAAATAGTCTTTTTTCATATTACCATATAATCAATAATTTTATTAGCGCCATGTAATATTATATGATATTAGATTGATTTTATTTGTGTACATTTCTTTGAATTTGTGGTATTCCCATTTTTTGGAAAAATCTTCATAAGATGTCAACACTGGACGCAAGGAAAGTACGGAAGCCGAAGGCGCCAGCTGGCGGCGGGTATCGAATGTACCACAGATAATAAAGGATTCTTTAATACGAAAGAACGTTACGCGAATCGGAGCCGTGTTCAAAATGTTTTCATGCTAAATCAAACTCGAACAGTAGGCCCTTGTAAAATACACTCTCTGCAATATTCACCCTAAAAGCTTAAGGTTTTTATGGCCATGGTATTAATTTCACTTTTTGTTGAGAATATTGCGATCTTTTATTTATTAGTTGAAAACATTAAATTACTGATTGTATGTTTTAATTAAATGTTTAATAGTAAAAATAGTCTTTATCATTAATTAAATTGTTCATATACTTTTTTAACTAACGTTTAGTTTACGCACAATTCTATCGATTATTAAATAAAAACTGAAAAGCCAGTTAAAATCGATGTACTTAATGTAGAATAATTTCCTTAGAATTAATTAAAGATCACAACGTTTGATAAATTAGGGCAATGAATAAAAACGTCGCAGAAGTAGCCGCTCGGTTGCATACCGCGCGTCAAGCGTCAAGTTACAATCACTTCACTTTGGCATCAGAATGTCTATTTTATCTTTAAATATCAAATAACATTTTAGGAAGTAATTCTATTTTAACTTTAGTTTGTAACCATACAATAGCAATAATACGAGAAGGCACTTTAAAAGTAATGACTGCTGCTTAATGCGATCAAAAAATCAAATCTAATTGAAATTGAAATTGAAATTTATTGAAAACAGATTAATAATTAACAATAAAAGTTATAACCAATTAAAAGATAAATACAAATAGTGATAAATGTGATTGATCTAGTGATGCCCACACTAGGCAATGCCTGTATCGTGGGCATCGAAACAGCAGGAAAAATATTTTTATACAATAATAATTAAAAACCTACGCTTACTAATGATGTCGTAGTCATTAGACTCGATCAAAACAAGGTGTTTAGTCTATAGTTTGTTTCAATAACCCCTTTAAAATAATGTTCCAATTTTTATCAATCAATATAAATTATTTATCTACATCTAAATAAGAATTATGCCGTTTTATTAGTAGTCAATTCGATTTTAGAAACGCGCCTGGAAGCAGTTATGAGAAGTCAAGCTCCGGACACGACTCCCGCAGAGCTAGCGAGTGCTTCACGCGGACCAAATCCTTCCGTATAAAGGACCATGCACATTAGCCATTTTGAATAACGGCTTATTTCTTCTTTCGTTATTTGTTATTTGAGAGTACACAGTTGAATAATGAACTTCAACAATAAATTTTAGTAAAAAATCATCCTGTTCATAAATGTAGGTAAAACTTGAAACGAAAGACATACTGGCATACATTTGAACAACAAAATATAAGTAAAGAACCTAACAGTTCACGGGACTTTTTAAACCTTAACAAAAGCAGCAGAACACTAGTGTATTAACCCTTAACTACGGTTATGAAGTATTAAAAAAGTTTATGGATACTTCATTAGATTAAGTGAGTTACGTTTATCGAATCCCCGGTAGATGTACAGAGGCCGCAAGCTCCATAAAGAGATAGTCCGCGGGAGAGAGCATGTGTTATTAATATTACGACTCCGCGGTTCGAAATGAGGTGTGTTATGGCCACTTGATATCGAGATGAACGGTTATTATTACGGATTACGTATCGCTTATAGAGGTCATTAAACTTTCATCGACTGATACATTAATTAGGTATAAAGAATCGTTCCATATTTATAACAACGTGTTTTAATTTCTTTTATTTTTTAATTGGTCACAACAAACAAGTTCATGTTCCTGTAATTAATAAACTACCCTTACTAATAAACACTATAGCTCTCCGGGAAAATTCCAAGCCTGGAAGTGCCACAACTTTTAGCCTCACAGTTCCCGTCTCTATTTCAATAACAATTCCT